AATATAAAGTTTCATTCTAGTTTCTATTTTTCAAAATAAATAATTTCTTCCTTTCTTTCTCATTTATTTCAGATTCTTCTTTAGAGCTAAATGGTGGTAAAATATTGCTCATAGATTTAATGGTACATATACATTAAGATTTCTTCTAGTCATCTATGATAACGTTAATCTTTTCTTCTTGACACAGTTGATGTAGCTTCCATCTTATTTCTTTAATTAGAAGCTGAATCAGCACATTTCTATTACACTCAAATATAAACTAATTGAAAAGACTTAACAAGATTATGATTCAGATGCCCAAATGAAGCTCTGATTTCCACAACTGTTTGAAATACATAATAAATTTAATTACTAAATTAGGAAGCTAGCCTAGGAATAAGGAGGCATTTTCATCCAAAGGAAAGAAAAATAAGAAACCTTACACAAGTAAAAATTATCCACCGTTATTTCTGCTGCTAATATGTTCCTATCAGAGATTTTTCTCCTACTTATTTGTGCAGATGTGAAAGACTCAGACTCAGTAGGTGCATACGATTATCCAAAGATTCTGTCCTTTCAGCCTCTTCTACTGCCCCACTGGTCCCGGGACATCCGCAAAGGGCTAATACAGTAGCTCAGCGACCCAAATTGCATTTGCAGTAAGTAAATGAATAATTTATAATTAAGCAGTTGAATAGAACCAGAATAAACCCCAAAAAATTCAAAGCACCTATCCGCTGAAGGCTTCCTGAGAAGCCATTTATTCTTGCAGTGCTTCCTCTGCTGGAGAATAGCCCTCCAGGTGGGAGCTTTCTCCTTCTTCAGAAGTTTGTGGTTTGTCATTCAGCTTATACTGCATGCTATTTACGATATTTTGCAAGAAGGTTAAGCAGACAACGAAACAGGAAAAAAAAAAAAAACTAAAAACTGAATCAGAATAATCTTCCTTCTCCAAAAAGCACTAAAATACCATTTCTACTTTTTATTCAGGCATGAGAAAGAAAGACTGCTCTCTGTGCAACAACAGATTTCTGAGAGTATTTTTGCTCTCAGAAGTATATTGTGTTTATTTTTAAGTTATATTGTGTAAGGATGCATCCAAGAAAAAAAATACACACATATGTTCTCTAAATCAGAAAACACTGTGTTGAGCCCATCCCAATCTAATGAAATCCAGGAAGGCCATGTGCAAGGTCCTGCACCTGGATCACAGGAATCCCAAGCACAAATACAGGTTGGGCAGAGGATGGCTTAAGAGCAGCCCTGAGGAGAAGCATTTGGGGGCGTTGCTTGATAAAAGATCCAACGCAAACTGGCTTTGTGCACTTGCAGCCCAGAAGGCCAAAATCGTATCCTGGGTTGCATCAAGAGAAGCATGACGGGTTCAAAGGAGGCGATCCTGCCCCTCTACTCTTGTGAGACCTGACTTGGAGTACTGTGTCCAGTTCTGGGGCTCTCAACACAAGAACATTGAGCTGTTGGAGCAGGCCCAGAGGAGGGCCACAAAGATTATCAGAGGGCTGGAACACCTCCTCCATGAGGACAGGCTGAGAGAGCTGAGACTCTTCTGCCTAGAGAAGAGAAGGCTTCAGGGATACATTATAGTGGCCCTTCAGTAGCTGAAGGGGGCCTACAGGAAAGCTGGGGAAAGCCACCCCCTTTTTAGAACAGTATGTAGTGACAGAAAAAGTGGAAATGGTTTTAAACTGGGAGAAGGTAGATTTAGACTAAATATTAGGAAGAAATTCTTTACTGTGGGGGTGGTGGAACAGGTTGCCCAGTGAGGCTGTGGGTGCCCTCTCCCTGGAAGCATTGGATGGGGCACTGAGCAAGCTGGTCTAGTGGGAGGCATCCCTGCCGGTAGCAGAGGGGTTGAAATTAGATTATCTTATAGGTCCCTTCCAACATAAAATATTCTATGATGCTATGAACTGCAATTTATCCATACTCAAATATTACAAATGTCTATGCTCTAAATGAGAAATCTCCCACACTGCTGGGAGTTCTCTGACACTGATGGGCATTGTGCATTGCTGGCAAGATGTTGGTAGTGGGGGCAATGTAATAGCAGCCTCTGGGGAAGGTCAGAGGCTGTCGATGTTCCACTAATTGATGAAGGAACTGAGGCTCAAGAAGGATGCTGAGGCAAAGTACATCACAATGGTCTGCAAGCCCGCGGATAAAGTCCACAACAGAGCAAAGGATATGAGTAAGAATGAAGCAGCAGCTGTAGAAAAGTAGAAAGAAGGAGCAGCAGAGAGGCCCCAACTTCCTACAACCTAGTCCATGGAGTACAACCTGTAGCAAAAACAAGAGGAGGATAAGAAGTATCTGGAGTGTATCTGAGCATAGTAAGTAGGGAAGAAGTGCGTCTTCCTTTACTTTTTAAACATTTCTCTTTTGTTTCCCAGCACCCAAACCAAGTAATTAACTATTTATGCTGTTAGTCAGTAAATTAGCATAAGCTCCCCAAGTTTGTTTTTCCCCTGCAAATAATTGCCCAGTGACTTTCCTGCCTTTATTTTCACCCTTTGTTCTTCCCATTTCTTACCTCCCTCCCTGCCATTGCACTGTGGGAGAGGGATAAGCAAGCACATATGGGGGTTCTGGTAAGTCAGCTGGATCCAACCCACCACAAGGTGGATATGAGGAAACCCAATATGCAAAATGAGATTGTAAGACAGAAAAGCTATTACTGCTAACAGGTAACATGTCCCTGACACAGAGAAGCTTCTATATTTAATATCTCTTTTCAGTATCCAAAATTTTAGGGAATATCAATGCTTTCAGAAAAAGTAATCTTGCATATTGTGAGTTTTGTGCCTATTAATCTCAGCCATAGCATTTCTTCAAAAGAAGTGCAGTGTGTATCCCTAATTTTGCGTGGAAGGAGACAAGGAGAACTGGCAAAAATTGCCTGTTACTGTTATTATACCTTGTTACTGAAAAGGTGAGAGGAAAGGGCAAGAACCTACTTTCCTTGAAACTCAATCCATTTTTTTAAATTAACAGTACGTAATAAGTTCTCTAGGGGTCAAAAGCAACTCAATTTACCAGAAAGAAGTAAACAAGTCAGAATTTGTATGTGCTAACAAAAAGAGAAAACAACCATTAAAGAGCCCTCCAATTTACTCTTTGTTTACAGGTATAAATCTGCCAAGATATGGTTTGACTTCTTTGTTAGGGCTTTTAAAACAGAACTCAGGAAAGCAGGTCCCACTCTTGATTCACTGTCAAAGGAAAATAAGAGCTTGCTTCCTTCAGACCTTAAACTTCAGTGTTGTGGTTTTTTTTTCTTTGCTGCTGTTGTTTCTGTTCCTTGGCTTCACTTCAGTTCGCTGCAGGTGACTGGAGATGCTTGGTTGCTGAGTGGCAGTATTTAGATATTTCACTTTTGATTTGTGAGACTTTTCTATTTTTGATCTCATGTTTTAGCTCTGATTCATCATTTGTAATAGTCACACTGCAGATATTTTAGAAGGAAGCCACTGCAAACTAATGCAAGGTTTTATTTTTTAAAACTGTGTAATATTCAACATGACTTTGATGACTCTGAGCTCAGAGACTTCCTTGTCTTAATCTGTATCACATAATCTAAATTGCTATTGAATTGTTTGTTGTCATTATTAGACTGTCACTGAAGTTATTTCATTAGCAGAACTGTGTCAGTATATTATTTCATATTTACATAAAGGTCATGTAAAATAACAGCAATGCAGTTTTTAAGCACTTCATTCTTAGCCTGGAAGATAGCAAAATATTTTATAAGGAAAAGCATACAGGGAGCAACTTCACCTGCTCCTGAAATGTAGCCAGCTTCAGAGGAAACACAGCTGAGAAACAATGCATTACACAGGTGTCTGTTGAAGAAAAATACTGGCACAGTATAATTCAGCAAGCCTATTTTCTTTATGTGGAGGCATCTACAGTTTATATATATAATTTTAAATCGATGATAGGTTTAAGATCTCATGTGAAATAACATGTGCATAGTGATCTGCTCTAAGCTCAGAAGAGAAAAAAATAACTGCACAAACAAAAAACAGCAACAAAACCCCACAGCTGACCCTGGCATAGAACAGTGCCCAGACTGAGACTGTTGAGAAGTCATGCTCCCACATTTTTTTCTGGCGTTTTTACATTCAGCTGTATTCCTGCTTCACATTGCTTTTTGCCTTTCACTCTCATCAGTAAACTCTTCTCCCATTCTATTCCTCTCTCCATTCTTTCCCTTTCCTATTTATCTTGCACATGATTTCTTACAAAAACTAACAGCAGAAAGGATAATGGTTTTTATGTTCAGCTAGTGGAAATCAGAGCATTAGTGCTCTGTACAGCCAGCTACAGAATGTAACTGAATGCAGTGCTTCATATTTTCCATTTTTAAATCTAGATCCACAGAGCTGCCAGATTATAATGTTTTAAGAACAAAAGTTGAGGGTGTGCTAGCTAATTCAAAAGCCAATTCATAGAATGTCAAACAATCATTATAACACAAGCATAGAAAATTTCAGTTCACCGAGTTAAAGCATTTTGGTTCCTACAGTATTTCTAAGGAACAAAGTTACTAAAATTATGGTACTAATGATTCATTTATGGAAATATGGAAAGACACCAATCTCATACTTTGGTAGTGCATCTAAAGGCAGATATGAGGCGAAATTCTCTTTACAGTGGCAATAATACTCTTTTTTAAATGATCCTAATTATATATGAAGACTAAAAAAGCCTGTTTGTACTCATATAAAAAAGTCCAAGAGGGGATATTGATGCTGTAAAAGTACATCAAGCAGGTAAGAGTCCAAGTGAGGGGGAATAAAAACCACAACACCTACTTTAGCTAAAGGTCAATGTTGGCACAAGAACAAGTGACATAATCTGCAAGTTTAAGTTTTGTATTAAAAAGCTGCTAAGCATTAAAGAATTCAAGCACTGAAACAACATTCAAATGAATGAGCGGAAAGGCAAAACAAATGTTTCAAGGCAGAGCTTGATTAGTCTGAATTATATGATATGATAGCTATGATAGCAGAGAGCTGTATGATCATAAATCATATATGTTTTCCTTTCCTTAACAAGAAAAGCCCTTGAGCATAATACCAAATTTATAATACAGCATGGTTCATGGAAGAAGGTCTACAATATTTATTGCAGAGATTACATTACAATCCATAATAACATGAGCCTCTGTCATAAATGTTAATCCCTTTATATAATATTCTGAAAACTTACAGAACATAACATAATAATTTTTCATATTTAGATGATTGTTATGAGGAAACTGTTCTCTGTGGCCAGTGGTAGAGGGTCATCACAAGAGAAAATGACTTAGCTTGCAACAAAAATAGGTGTTAGTATTTGAGGGAAATTTTTTAACTTCTAAGGTAGCCAAGTTGGATGAGCTTGAAGGAAGGTGGTGGAATCTCTATCATTAAAAAGCTTGTTTTAGCTGTTGTATAGATAACCTACTGAAGAAAGTCTAGAGCTTTTGATCCTGTCACAGCACAGCATTATTACAGACCAAGAGAGGAATGATTTCATCTGTCTATATGTACCTCTGTGGTTCTACAATTTAAAAAATAGTGCTGATTTAAGTGAGAAGATAATTTGGCCTGAAATTGAAATACTACTATCTTCTCAGCTCACCATACCCTTTTCTACATAAGTGGTACTCCTTGATTGTTCAGATTTTATTCTAGGAAATAGAGGTGTATTTACTGAATTTAAGATGCTTTGTTTCTTTATTTGCATACCTAAGTATTCTGTTGTCATGGAAATATCTTCTCTGAAGTCCTTGAAGACCAGTTCTCTTGCTTCAATTCTATCTCAAATTTTCTGCATCAACTAATTTTTATTCCTACTTCAAGTTTTCTATATATAAACTTGTTATGCCTGAATGATTTAGCTCATCATTTGTCGAGCCAAAACATCAGACTGTCTGTCCACAACAATAGAAGTTTCACTTCAGACAAGTGTATTAAGTCTAGTACAGTGCCATTTGCTGACTACAATGAAACCATTTTTTAAAAATTCTTTCAGGGAAGAAGCATACATGCTGATAAATGATTGTCAGCTCAGCAAACAAGAAAGAAATCCCAGTAAGTATGAAATGGTAGAAAGGATATAGCTATAAAGAAATTCAGATAAAATCACTAGAGTAATCACAGTACAAATACTTTGTCTATGCTTCTACATTGGTTGGAGAAAGTCTCACAATCTGTTCTGAGAGCTGAAATACTTGATTAAGGCAAAAAAAAAAAAAAAACCATCTTTCTTTCTGCATAAATGCCAACCTGACAGTCTCTTACTTTTCATCAGTTGCAGTCCAAATATGTTCAGATGTCTTCAGTGATCAGATAAAATGAAGAGATCCTGGAAGGTCAGGCTGGGACTTAATAACAACATAATTCCATTGGCTATGACTGGAAGCTTGGAAGCAAATAGTACCTTTGATAGAAAAAAAAACAAATGCTTAATATGCCTTGAAGGACAAACTGTTTAAAGAAGCAGTCCAACAAACTAACAAGCTTTGGTCGCAAACAAACTGGAGGGATTTCAGAATTTAGTTCACACGGTGCTAATCTTCAATGAAAAGTCCTACACCAAAAAGGAATAATCTTAGTCTCTGAGAATCTGAAAAAAAGGCACACTTGCAACTTAATGGTCAAGAAGAGGCAAAGATCAACCTTACAGTTATTGACCAAAGTCCTCTAAGGGCAAATATATACTCTCAATGGAAAATGAAGGAATATATCTGCCTTACTACCCAGTTGTTTTGCCAGCTAGCAGACTCACTGTCATCTTGATGTTCAGCTAAATTGCACAGCTGCCACAGCTCCCTCAGAAAGAGAATAATAAAATCTTCTTTCATCAGGAGTTGGAAATGCATATATAAAGCATGCTGTATCTGCATGCAGCAGCAGAACTCACCTTTTTTTTTTTTCCTCCCCCAACAGCTTCCCATATGTGCATATAACTTGATTAATTAATGACTAAAGCAGAACATAAAGCAATGTCACTGATCATATTTATTTATTATTAAATCTATAAGGCAGACTTCTATCTCTTAGCTGCTGTCATCAGCTTTCCCATCCTCTCAGTTTGATCCACTAGACTAGGCTAAAATCCAGACTGTTAATTACTTTGTTCTTTTACTGTATAATTTTAACTGTTACAGATCAAGTCACTTAGTGGAATTTTTTTTTCCTATAATAATGAAAAAATACCACCACAGTTAACTTTGACTTACAATTGTGGGTCTGTGTTCTTTCTAATTTATTATTATGAAAGGACATTGTAGTGAATAAATACAAATTTTTATAATTACAAAGCTGTCTTTCTTAGTCTTCCATTTTTAAACAATAGATACGTATGTATATATAAAAAAGGTTACCACCACTTCGCCTATCCTCTTTCAATAAATTCTTATTTAAATGACTCTTCCTACTTTGAAAGTGCATATATGCACTTTATTTTTACACCTTCCAGAAGAGTATTGAGATCTTAAGAACAAAAAGATTTATTCTCAAATACGTCCTCAGTGTGCTCACTTTTAAAGTAATGCTCAATGTCAAATGACTAGTACTATCTATTAAGAGCTTGGTAGTAACACTGTTGATTATTCAAAGACATGAAATTAATTCCTACCCCTGATCAACAAAGCACAACATTGTTTGAAATGCCGAAAGCCTGAAATTAATTTTTGTTTCTCCTTTCACATGTGTGTAAAAAAAAAAAAATCACGTTATCACACTTACATGCTCTCCTCAACAAATGTAACATTTTACAATATGCTAAACATTAAATTGACTAAAATCTCAAAGATCTGTCTGTAAGAAGATTATCATGACCTCTATGATAAAGTTTACGAGCGCTGTCTGTATTAGATGTGACTCTGTTGATTTTGAAATTTGAAAGATGTGGTTTGTTAGCAGCTATGAAAGCTTACACTTCCACAAGAGTGAGTTGAAAAGAGAAGGAATTACCAGATCACAGACTAGACCGATATGCAATGGCCTCCTACTTTGTTCTCACACAATGTTAGCTCAACAAAAATGCCTGTATGAGTCACAGATAAAAGCAGTGCAGAAAAAGAATTTATTGCCAAGAATTAACTTGGAAGAGCCAATGAAGTTAAACATTCCTATATGCTTACTGTATTTTGGGGTCGCAAGAAAACTCACACCATTCTCAGTCAGTTAGATGATTTAGATTGGCTTCTACCACTCTTTTGTCACAGGAATCAAACTTAATCCTAAATTGGCAGTTTTAATTCATAGATCTACCGTGCTCTTGGGAACACCAGAACTTGAGTTTTCTGAAATTCATGCCACCTCTTACGAGTCCTGTCTCTACAGTAATCATAGAAAGTATTTACTAGTTTTCCTACATGAAGTTATTAGGATTGAAAAAGAATTTGCACTTGCACTGCATTCAAGATTTTCTTTCATGTATCTTGTTTACCTCTCTTTTATTTTCCTCCCTTCCTTCAATACGATTCTTATTTAATTATCATAGAGGCAGAATTGTTCAGTAAATTATTCATTGAGTCTGTTCAGTGACCGACTACTATCACTCAAAACTAGCTTGACAAGATGAGGGCAAATATAAACTCAAGAATTGCGAAGGATCCAAGATAATAATTTTCAGAAGTGATATGTACTGTGACAGAAGCAAGGGGTAGGAAGTCAGGAAACCCTAGCCTTTGACCACTTTCCAGCTTTTCCTGGCTTATAAGAGAACATAACTGTATGAGTAGTGAGGTACTGAAAAAATTTGTCCAAGAAAGTTGCAGGTGCCTCATCCTTGGAAACATTCATGCCCATTGGATAGGGCCCTGGGCAGCCTGACCCAGTAGGTGGTAACTAGGAGGGTAAGAACAGGATGATCTTTAAGGTTCCTCCCAACCTTAGCCATCCTATGATTCTATGATGACATGGAAAAAGAATCCTTACTCTCAGCTTCAGTCTAACTTTCATATATGCCAGCAACAAAGGCAGACCACTAGGATTGTCTGCTTCTGTTGCATTTCTCTCCCATTGTGGTTTAAACACTTTGGAGACCCTTTCAGGGATATCACATCCTTTGGCTTCAGGGAAAACTGTAAATAATCAGGGAAAACTGTAAATATTCATGCATAACATTTTTTCCCAGCTTATGCCAAGTAGTCCTTAACAGGACTTGATCCATGAAGCTTCAGGGTATAGTGAAAAAAATAACTGGCTTATTGTCATAAAAGGCAGCATTGTTAACTTCCATGTTACTCCTATTTCATATGAGCCTGAAGGCACACAATTAGTCACAACAATGCCTTGTCACATCAGGTTTTTTCAGCTCTGTCACGAAACTAAAAACCAGTTTCTGGCAAAAGCATTTTTTTCTCCATAAGGTACATTTTGAGGCTTCTTCTGAATCCTACCCAATGAAGACTGCTTTATGAATGACAACTATGTATAGAAAAGATTGTCACTCTCATTAGGGATGATCTCCCCTAAACCACCTACTGTACATGAGTTCTTTTTTTGATTGGTAGAAGTTGTGACTGCAGTGTTGAATCAGAAATGAAATTACAGGCTTGTATTCTTTAAAATCTGTTAGATCTTTTCATCTTCTCAATCCTATTTTAACAAGAGAAAGATGGTCTATAGAATAAATTACTTTTTAAATGGCATATGTGCACATTTAATACTATTAGGGCACAAAGTATCAGACTAAATGGAAACAGAAATGGAGATGGGAAGTTGCTGCCATGGCCAGGGCAAGTGAGGTCAGGAAATAAGAAGGAAATTCATTCTGCTAAGTCAAAGGTCTATGCAGCAAATATTGCCAGGAACTGTGCCGAAGTCAGAAACTGGGATAGCAAAGATTAGGTGGGGAGATCAGGACAAGGCTGACAGAATTGAGCAAGTAGGACATAAATTTAACTAGGAAACAAGTTTAACAAAGGCAAAATAAAAAAAAAATAAAAAACACCTTTACAGTAGTCTTTAAAATCTGGCAAGTTTTGGTAAACTAGCAGTCAGGCTAACACTAGCTTCAGCTGTCAGGGTTTATCAAGCCTTCATTCCCCTGTGGCACTGACTAGCAAAGGTAAAAAGACTGCTTTGACATGCGTATCATGATGTATTGATGAAGATGAAAAACAAATCAAACAGGAGACTGCAAGCTTGTGGTGGCTATATAGCAACTACACCTTTTCAAATTAAAGAATACTTAGAAGCATAACTAGCTGGAAATAACTGTATAACCAGCATAACTGCTGGAAATTGTTTTGTTTGACTTTGTTTCTTTAGTCATATACACAGTGAATTGTTATCAGTAGATTTTCATGTCATGATAGCAATAACAGGAGATATGAAGCATCATCTGCCACATAGTATAATAACATTGCCAAACCTGAAAATCACAAGGAAAAATAGTCTAGGCTAGACAATGCCAAAAATGAACTGGTTTAAAAGTATTTGGTGATCTGGGAAGGACATGAGCAAACACAGAAGTACTATGGTCTAAGTAGAAATAATGCATTTTCTTTCTCAGGAAGAGTCCTAGTCCTTTATCTTAACAGTTGATGAGTCTCATCTACCTATTAGCCTTACCCGATGGCCTGTTTTGTCCAAATATTGTATAATTCAGCTATCTGCCAAATGGCAGATATTAGATGTTTTTTCCACTATTAACTAAGAAATATAGTGGTGATATATTCCTTGACCAATACTGTTGACAAATTAGGAATCATATAGAAATAATGTTCTGGTACAACCTTTCCAACATCAGGTATCCAATATTCATGACCTTGAGAAACAGTATAAAAAAAAAATCAGAAGGAACTTTTGCTCAAAGCAATTCCATCTCCAAAACACTGCCAACATTTCAAAAATCCCTTACAACTAACAGTATGAGACAAACAGAAGACATAGCACGAAATACACTGTTTGTAGTTTTGCAAAACTGTAAAATACAAATGCATAGGTATCAGAATATTGCCTAAGGGATGTAGCTTCCTGATGTAGCTACATGATGAAGCTCCTGATGAAGCTGATGTAGCTTCCTGAAGAGAAGACCTAATAGTGTCCATCAATTACTGACCTAGGGGTCTACATGGCAATCCCTAGTCATTTCAGAGTAGGCAATATGAATTATTTGAAAACTTATTTGATACTAAAGGGAGATTCAGCATTTGTTTCTAAGTATGCCTGTGTGTCTTAGAAACACACAGCATAAGCTGTATCACTATCCAGCAAGAAAAAACAAATCTTTGTTACCACTGTATCAGACTACTTTCCAAGTTAAAAAAAGTATCTATAAACTTAACATTGAAAGAGAGAATTTCCTCTGTAACTACTTCTTGCTATGGGAATTCACTAGCATTTTATACAGCTAATAAAAACATAGGCATGTATTGTAGTGTTTAGCATTTGTAGGATGAAAGATATTCAGTGAAACAGTTTTTCCATAGTTACTAATGACACAGGCCCTGAGATTAACCACATCTGTTCTGTTTTTAAGATCGACATGCAGGGTTTTAGTTTTAACTTGCATTGAACTGTCTGGACCAAAAACCATCCTTTGGTTTTAGGGCTCAATTTTTTTTTGAGCTATTTCAGATAGCAATAAGAAAAAGCAGCACAGTTATTAATAATAACTCAACTTCGCTGACAGACAACACATTGCAAGACAACTTGTTGCCATAACTGCCTGCAACATGCTGATTCAAAATGAGAACATTGTTATAATTGTGCATTATCATATACTTTTGAAGAGATTGAATTCTGAAATAAGTGTAAAAATTTAACAATCTACAGAGTTACATGTACAGCAAAACATAACGGCGGATGCAGTAAAATCTCCATTTATGTCAGATAAACCAGTAATAGGTATTGGAATGACTAGTAATTTTCAGGTCTAAATGCATTAGAAAATTACATCTCTGGAACAGTAATATCCAAATCCCTAAAATTAATGCTTTTTTTTTTTTCCCTTTGAATATTTCTTTTCACCTGGATTACTCACTATAAAAAGATATTTTAAGGTATCAGAAGCAAACAGATACCTTACTAATTATTCACATGCCTTATAAATTAAGTTAGTCTTACTCAGAGGATCAACTAAAAGGATTATAGCTCAAACCTGGATTCATTTTCCAATCCTGACAGATCTTACTTTGTCTCCTTATCTGTAAAATGAAGCTAGTTTTGAATGAAAGCACACGAAAAACCAGCCTCTATATTTTTCATGGAACAGTCCTGCTGGGTATTTTTGAATATAAGACAAAATTGTTATTAGGCATCTAAAGTACAGCACAGAGGGCATTGTAACATAATGCCAGCATGACAAAGCCAAACATACCACTCAAAAAAAAATTCTTTTAGCACTCTATTCCATTTTTTGAATAATGAAAAACTGTTATGAAAACAGAAGTCCTCCTGATTTGAGTAGATAAATGGGCTTCCATAAAAAGTGTCTAAGTTTAAGAGTCAGTGGTAAATAAAAATTAAGTCAAAATGAAACCATCATTTTTACTCTTACTCATTCCAAATGGAAAAGAAAAAAAGAAACTAACCTATCATACTGAAGCCACTTCAATGGAAAACATGACCCTTTATTACTATATAGAAAAACCTAGACATCGCCAATGAACTTGCATGTTTTTCAAGATAACCGTAATACAAAAGCCATTATAATAGCTACGTACTCATTTATTCTGTATTTGGAGAATGACTAATTTTTTACCATATCTCAAGCTATAGAAGGGGAGAAAAATAATTTCACAGAAAGATCCTAAGGTGTTGACAAAAATTCCCCATTTGCAAGGAACTTTGTAAGAGGGATGAGGTGGAGTGAGATTCTGAGTTCTGTGGTAGCATTTGCCGTGTTTCTGCATATGAGTGCACAGGACTGAAACCGTAGGTGAGCAGCATAGATGGATAGCTGTCATGGCAAGGGTTATTACCCAATAAAGGACAAATAGAATAAGCACAGAGACTTCTATACACACAAGGCAGCAACAACCAAATTCTTTCTCCATGAATGAGCTAACCTAGCCTTAGGCATGACTATCTACCAAGATATACACAATTTTAAGATGCAAGTGTAGATACATCAGTTTGATTTGCTGCTGTCCTCATAGAATAGGGAACTTGCTATTATGTCGTTGCTCAAAGCTCAAAGCAAAGCTTGATATTAGTTTAACTAAGACAGACTAAACAAAGATTCTGTGGTTTTATTTTCAGCAACACAACTTAGTGCTTAATTCTACTTTACACACTCTCCTGGCTAGATACAAACTGATATAGTTGTTATGAAAATGCTTCCTTTTTTTTTTCATGTCAATTATTTTGAGGTTATATATCCTATGTCCAGAACCTCTTAAATGCAGAAAAAAATTGTTCCAAGTCTTCAGTCCCTGCAATCCTTATTCCCATTGTCTCACTGCTCTCTCTGTAAGAAATGGTTTAAGACTGACAGCCAATGTAGCAGAATTAACGAAAAGTGAATGGAGGTATAATGGTGGTACTGATCGACACCTTTAAGTTATAATCTTGTCAGTCTTCTTCCAGACAATACACATCTAGAATACACATCAGAACACTTAAGAGAAGCATTTTGGTGCTACCCACTTGTGGAAAAAAAAAAAACCAACAACAAAAAGAAGCACCAAGAAAACCAACCAAACCTGAGATGTTCTTCTTGTACATGAACTTCATCTTTGGCTGAGTCACAGAAGGTGTATACAGGACTGCTGAAGAGTCCAGCATGAACACACTGTTTCTGTTGTCAGGCTGGTAGAGACAGGGTAGCATATTTCGATGACTATGTCAGGCAGCTGCAAACATGAAGCCCACAGGTGTACTTCACCAGGAGAGAAAATAAATATGTCCAAGGTTTTAATGAGAAATTTATGAGGGATTTGTGTATTAAAGCAAAAGTAGAACTCTTATCCAACAGTGACAGCTGAACCACTGTGGGAGTGAGGTCAGTACCTCTCTGAATAGATAAAATACTGTAATAAACAAATGCAACTCATTAGTAAAAAAAAATCTAATTATTATGTTTAAAGTTCCATTTCACCCTGCTTATACGTTTGGTCTTAGTTACCACAGAAGAATTACCTTACTGTAAGCAGTTTAAAATTATTTGGATAAATTTTATTGTAAGAACAAAGGCCTTACAGTCAAAACAAATTGTTCTTTACCATAGATATCAGAATTATTATAGCATTTTCAAAGAATGAGAATTGTGACATCAGAATTCAGTCAAACAGTGTTGTCACTAACAACTTCTGTCTTACTAACTCTAAGCTCAAAATAGAAAAACAGAAGACTGGATTAGGCTTTATTTCACCCATATGTTTTAACACCACTTCTGCTGATACATAAGGATTTCTCCTTTCTTCATAAGGAAGCATCAATCTTTTCACAACTATAATTTAAGTTCTGTGTTTGTTTAGTTGTCATAGTGGTAACAACGTACAACTAAGTTGTAATTCATTAATTTTCAGTTGACTGGAGTTGTAGGAAAGACTTCTCAGCCAATGCTAACAGTTTCTTTCCTCATATGCCATATAAAAGAAAACGTGACTTTCTAAAGTATAAATGTAGAAGATGAAGGGGTTTAATATAATATTATTTAACAACTCTTACACCAATATTTTAGTCCAGCTGTCAAAGTCAAGTTGCTCTAGTGCTTTTCCTGAAAATGAGATGAACAATTATGAGAATGCTTGCTCCATAATGATTGCTACAATTAGAAATACATCAACATTTTCTGTAGAAAGCGTAATAAAAACCTTCTCTTTATCATAAGCATGTAGTAACACCATATGCTTCCAATATCTTTTTCCCTTTCCTCTTGTAGCCTAAAGCCTGTGTATTTTTTCTTCATGCTCACGCTTCACATGCAGTATAGTATGATCTTTGCTTTATTAAACATGAGAGTTGTTTTCCCTTGAAGCTAAAACAATAACACTGTTGGAAAATACTACCAATGTGAACTATCCCAGACATCTCATTTCTTAAGATAGCTGACCATTTCTAAATACTTTGGAGAAATAAAAAATGTTTTCAAATGGAATAAAACTGTGAACCATAAGTAACACAATCCGCGTGTATTTAGAAAAAATTAGAAATATTAGCAGTGTAACTGAGTGAAAAGAATTTGTTCTCTTGATGTTGACAAACACAACCATGGAGTTAATGATAAAAGCAAAAAATCTAATATGATAAAATAGGTAAATAAATCCAAATAAAATGCATGTGCATTTTAGTGCTTGAAGTTGCAGTGCTATAAGACAATTTTGAATAATGGTTTCACTAAGAGAAGAAAACTGTTCATAAGTTAGCTAATGAGCTAACAATCAGTAGTGGATTGCAGAAATACAATTTTGCTGCTCCCTCTGTTAATCAACATACAAATTGACTTAATCAAACTGCTAATGAAGACCTATAGATATTATAGCACAGAGCATTTAGTTCATGTTAACTTTTAAGACATCATACAAGGCTTTCTTCCAGGCACACCCTATTCACAGTGATTGAATTCACAGTGTTCAAAAACATTGAGAAGAACCTGAAAATCATACTGGGAACGTTCCCTATCTATTACACTCTGATACATGATTACAGCTTCCCTCTCTCTCCACAGTTCAACATAGAAGTGTGTCAGACCTTCAACTGTCCTTTTTTTTTTCCTATTTTTTTATTTTTTATTTCAGACTAGAAATTGTTACTCAAAAAACCAAAAATTTGCCAACAAATAATATATATTTGAACAGACACTCGTGACCTTTTCTGCACTAGAATAGAGGAAAAAAGCAATTATTACTAGTTCTTAATACTGTTTTCAAATGCTCCTACTGCAACGAAATCTTAGTTTTCTGATACTTCATGATTCTTCAAGCGATCCCTACATTACTCAAATTACTTCGGACTTTTTATTTTTTTAATATTTAAGTGCTAAGCCACAAGATTAAGTTTCACCCCTTCCTAAATTCAGGTTAGGGGACCAGCTCACTGAACATAGAAAGAACCCCCCCCCAAAAAAAACCAACGTAAGCAATAACTGAATTATAGTAGCTGACATAGTATCACTATCAGTAAATGTAAGTATGGAGCAGCCAAGATAGTTTGTGTGATAAACAAAAATTCCATTTGTCAAAGTAAAAGTAACAAGAAGAGACAAATTCATCAACTCCGCAGAAATTAAATAATCCTGCACAAAAACATTTTCATTAATTTGCAAATGTTACGCAGAAAGAATAGAGACCTAAGAGCCTCAGTATACCAAACAAATCCTCAGCAAAAAAAAAACAACCAAACAAAAAAAACTCAACTCCTGGCTTAGCATCATCAAAGCACAGCTTGCAGCAGCTGCTACCAAAGTACTTCAATCACACTTTAACGAAGAGCATCTCCTAAGCCAGCAGAGCTCAATTTTTATCCATGCAAGAGACAGAAAGTGATTCCACAGTCCTGGCAGATGCAGTACTCTTCTCATACTAAAGGGGGCAAATTATTATTACCTGCCAACTTTCTACCCTGTATTCATGTACTTCCATTATTGTACATAATACCAACTGGAAACATGCAATATTTGTTTTGACTTGTATTATTTGATTTGGCATATAACTGAGAGAGAATAGACAGAATTATTCACTCACTTTCTGAATTTAGATATCACTAATGAAATCAATGCATAGTTAACAAAGTGCCAAAAGTTACCATTTTGTTCACAGATAGCTTAGAAGTGTCATCACAGAACTTAACTGCATATCTATCTATCTATATACATATATAGTAAAGCTCCAGCCATCTTCCTAGTAACATTTTGTAGGTGCTTTTTTTCACCAGTCATGATATGAAGTATACTTGAGAACTGTAGCTTTAATGATGAGGCCAGAGGTGTTCTGTATGCATTAAAACACTTCATTGATAAACTATTGGCAGCATCTGTGATAAAAGCTAACTTTAGAACAGTCTCATACTGTCTATGCTATAGTATTTCCTATATATAATACACACTAAACTCAAACCCTTGAATATACATTGCTTTGTAATAATTTACCAGTAGTGCACATGTGGAGAAAACAGAGTGGAAAAAAGAAGAGAAAATATACTAGTAGGAAGTCTTTTCTATTTGCATTCTGCCCACCAGAATAGGAAATTGTACTAACTTCCTAAAGAAAATTCAAACTAATATTTTCAGAGATTGTTAGATCTGTGTGATATTCTTCCCAAAGCATATGCGTTGCAGACATGGAACATTACCAAACAAATAGGTAATAACTCCAGCCAACCTTAACTTAGGAGAAAAAGAAGCACACAGAATGTGGGTGCAAATAAATTTCTTTCTACGTTTTCAAACAGATATCTCATAAGCTGTTTCTTGAAGACATAATACTTTTTAAAGTGTGACAAAATGCATATCTAACAGCATCTATTAAGCTGCATTGAATCAGTGCAAGTTCAGCTGCATTTTAATGAAAGAAGATATAGAGAAGTGTATACAGATAAGTGTATAATCAATGAATGTACAGACATTATAGTTACAAGGTATACCAGAGAGCTTAGCTACATAGTTATTACACCAAAGCAGAAAAGACAGGACACTTACCCGTACCCTGAGCTCACTTATGAAACTCCAGCAAAGCACATCTCCAGAAGAGATCCTTCCCCACAGGCAGTCAGCTCTTAAATGGGTCTAGGAGAGGTGCAGCCAGGCTCCACCACTTCCGGCAGCACAGGTGAATTGCCTTCAGCTGTGCTCCTCTGGCTGACTCAGTGCTCGCCTCAGGTGATCAATCAGAGGTTCAGGCCGTGATTCAGCAGTTCCCATTCAATAAGCCGTTATAAAAGCAAATTGTTATTTTTTTTTTTTTTGTTATTTTTTTTTGTTTGTTTGTTTTTTTGTTTTTTGTTTTTTTTTTGTTTGTTTGTTTGTTTTTTTTTTTAAATGCCGTTCTATCAAACCTTTTAACTGACTTACCTGAGAAAGTACTTCACGTGACACAGCCACAGGCATGAAAATGTTTTGTAGCTGGAAGTGATGGTACCTATCACAGTTCATTTACCAATTTTGTCTAGACTCTGCAGACTGTAGTTTGAAGGCTTTGCTATAACAATCAATTTGAACAGCTTACTACACACGTAAGTCTTTCCTGTTAGAATAAACTTGCTTATGCTAAAGTAACAGAATGGATCTGTGAAAATTCAAGATGAGCATTGCCTCTTTTCAAACTTTACATTTTTTCACTGACAGCAATTAATACCCAAAAACATTTTCTTTGAGTATTTAAAAGCAAAACAGAAATTCAAAAGAAGACCAGCAGCTTTAAAAATGTTATTAGAGAGAATTACTGCACTAGTGTCATTAAGCATATGTTCTTTCTGCTATCTAATGGCTTTGTTAATACAGAAGGAATAGATTGAAGTGAAATTGCCTCTCTTAACCATTTTCATTTCCTAGGGAATTTGAACTCCTAATGCAGAAAGTAATAAATTACACTTTTGGACACTTCTCTTGAGCAAAATCTATACTCAGTGTGTTGAAACATATCTGGCAATATATAATTAGTTAGGATCACAGTAATTTTGGTGCCTATTTTTCATTCTCCTTTTACAGAACCTGAGCAGTTTGGATTTTTTTAAAGGCATTCTTCGCTAGACAAAAAAAAAAAAAAAAAAAAAAAAGTGTTTTTGTGTCTTTTAATGTCATTTTTTAAATAGAAAATTGTCTATTATATTTAATAATGAATTGTATTCTGAAAGCCATATTTCTTATGTGTCTAGAAAATCACTCATTTAGGTAATCAATTAATAGACAAAATTTGAAGTTGTTTATAAAAAATACAACATTAAAATTATGTTAGAAAATGTTGTGATTTTTTTCTTGTTAGCTCACTGGCCAGTCTTGAAAGGGTGAAATTCTCTTATCTACATCAAAAGCATCCATTTCTCCTCTCTCTGTTTGTTCTGCTATTATACATAAATTAATGTTCTGTTTATACTTAGTTTCTTGATTTTAATTGACCTCCTAAATACAACCAAAATTATTAAGATGAATGATGAAGTAAAAATTAGTAGTTGTATGAAATGTTTGGACTGAAATGCAGGTATCTACTGCTTCTGTTTTTCAGGAGATGTTAATTGGCTCTAGACTTGTGTAATTCTGATAATCATAGCTTACAAGTATTTCCAGTTTTTAATTTCCTCATTGCTAATGTAAATGAACACACAGTTCTGAGTATGGAGCAACATCCCAGTTTGTCCTTTTGTAGACAGAAGTCTCACAGCAGCCCTACAGAGACACCTACTACTCTGAACTCCATGCCTCTTGCCTTCTTGCTGTAGTGTGTCTTGCCTTCAGTGGAAAGTTTCACTTCATACAAGTTGCATTTAAAGTTGACAGGATTTCATGATTGCAAGCCCCCCTAAGCTGTTTGTGATCTGAGATAATAATGACCAAAACATTCACAGGAAATATATTGGATTGAATACCACCTGGGTAATGCTATGCAATTAATTGAAAAGTTCACATTCTCCTCTAACGTCTTAAAATAATGAATTAACTCGGCTTAGGTCTCACAAGAATAACTGCAGATAATATCCTCACCAAAAAAAAGGTACTGTGCTTGTTTATCTGGATCTATATTTACAAGCAATGTAGAAATTCCAGATTTGAATTTTTACTGTGGATACATTTATACATAGTTACTGTAACTTACCTTACGGGATCCAAAACCTTGTATTAGCTACAGCCTTTCCATAAAGCATTCATTAATAATTATGTATTTGTAAGATTCAAGATGTATAATTTCAGAGGGGGTCAACTCATTGAATCAGCAGCAAAACAGACAGCCACATCTATGTGTTGAGGCATTGCACTTTCTGAACTAGCTGGAGGTGTTTTTTTTTTGTGAGTCTACAGCTTTCAAATAAATAGAAAATTTAATTAAATGCAGCTTAGTATGTACATTATTAGTCTAATGTAGGCATATTTTCTTTCTTTTACCTTCATGCTCCTTCTTTTCAGCTCATTAACTGCCTGTTTCCATCTTGCCATCACTTCAGCTCTGATCCTGATGATGTTTCTGCAAAGATAGCATTTCTATATTAAGTTCTGTTTATATGAACAGAGTTCTCATTGCAATCAAACTGTTCACTTGTAGAATAAGGACTCCAGATTTTCAAGTCTTATGCAATTACTAAATTAAAATAAGAACAATTTCTTATTCTCACCTGTGGTTTCTTGATAATAATGAAATGAATATAAACAAAACCACCAGTTACAGATCAGTAACCTGAAAACACAAAAGTTCAATTGACATGATAGTTATGAAATACTAGATGAAAATGCATTTGTCCCTCAAACTTGCTGCAGCTACAATCCTCCAGTATATTTTCTGAACTTCTTTCATTTCTTTTTTCTAATGCAATACCTGGTGCTGCAATGCAACACCTCAAGGATATTTATGAAACACTGTACTAATGCTTAATTTCCTGTTTCATTTTCTTTCCATTTGTTACTGTTTACAGACTCTCACCACCTAAAACAAGGTTATGTGAAGGCAGCTAAGTCTGAAATTTATAGTTTTAGTTAGAATGTAAAAGAACTAGAGAGGACGGAGAAATTGACAATTTTGGCTGGCGTACTCAAAGGTACTATATCTTTACTGCTAGTGCAATCTGTAATGAACTCTCTGATAAACATTTACAGACAAACATCACATCTCAGCAGTATTTTATAGAAGAATTTCTTTACAGCTTTCTTTCAATAAAATTTGAGAAATTTTTTTTTTCCCAAGTGCTACATGACTAAATGATCCTATGATCCTATACCTCCATAGTACTTTTCACATAAACTGTTAAATATGCACATAGAACTACACAGGAAATGTAAAGTTATTCTATGACAGAGGCATTTACTGCTATTCCATATCATACTCAGAATTCCCAAAGACTACACAGGTAGACAATTTTCTCTCTGTTTTTTTTTTTTTGTTTGTTTGTTTTTTTGTTTTTTGTTTTTGTTTTGTTTTGTTTTGTTTTTAAATCTTAGAAGGCTTACAGCTTTTGCTGTGCTCCATTTCTTACTACTATAATTGCTTATTAAAACTGGCTCAGAACTCAGTCTGCAGCCTTTCAGAATGCTCCCTTTCTTAGTCATGTTAGCCAAATTTATTTTACCAATAATGACTATTTTACATATTCTGATCCTGTAAAGCCTCTAAATTTATGATTCAATTTGACTTTATTTGGCTTCTGTTCTTAGAAGGATCATAAATTTGCCATTAATCTTTGATTATGTTCCATCTGCTCTCAAGGTGACTTCTATTGCCTCCGTACTTTCTACAGAACTACTAGTCAAACAGTCATTCTGCCACGAGGCTACATGTCGTTCCAGGAAGAGTTGTATTAGGATACTTCATTTTTGTTTCATAAGCAGATTATCAAAAGCATCAGATGATAACATTCATTTCATTTGAAGTATTATAGTTCTGCTTTTGAAAGCACCTTTTACTTCTCATCTTCTTTCAGGTTGATTTGGCCTACTATCAAATATTAGCATCACTGAAGAAACCATAAGTATTCCCCAGTGTAGTAGTTGAATATGTATATGGAATAGTAACTTCAAACTCAAAGGCAATGCTTTTGGCAGAGGTAACCTCTAAATCACAGAGTTCTGAAGCTGAAAAAATATTGTGGAAAACATCACTATAAACCTGTCCTATTTTCATTATCTTTCTTATACGCTATTGCATCACCCAGTACCATTAACAGGAAACTATATTATATGGACTGTGGGTTTAACCCTGTACAGACGTTTTCCAGTTTTTTCTCTTAACTGCTCCACATTAACTACAAACGTATCTACTCTCATCTGTTGGCACATACAAAATGACTTTACTCCGACTGAGAGAGGCTAATTATCTCAGGTGATATTCTCAGTAGCATTCTAGGGTGTGCAAATGAGAAGATAGTTCACAGATGACAGCTATGATGAGTCTTTAATAGCAGAACAGATAGGTTAACAAATACTGGGGGTAATACTTAAACTGAAAGTTTAACCACATATCTTTACACTAACTTTCAGACAGATGAGGGTAAGAGGTCCATGGAGAAATCTCTCAGAGTTATATAAAGGGCATGCTCTAGTTTTTCAAAGCCCTTCCTCCACACACTTCAAGGATTCCAGTGCTGCCTCTTGCAGGCATAATGACTCCAGTAAGCATTTGGGGTTTTCAGGCCTCTCTTATTGTATGTCATGCCTAAAGAATAGCTTTCTACATAAGGAAAGCTATTACCTTTTAAATTAATCATAGAATCATCTTGGTTGGAAAAGACTTTCAAGATCAAATTCAATCATCAACTTGACCTATTGATTCCCATCACTTAAACATGTGACTTAATGCCAAGTACAAATATTTATTAAATACCTTCAGAGTCAGGGATACCACCACCTCCTGCACAGCCCATTTCAATGCTTGACAATTCTCTCCATGAAGAAATTCTTTCTAATGTTCAATTGAAATGCCCCTTAGCACAACATGAGACCATTTCCTTACATCCTTGTCATCTGAGAAAAGAGACCAACACTGACCATGCTACAGCCTCCTTAGAAGTAAATGTAGAGAACAATGAGGTCTTCCCTCAG